TTGAACATACGCAGAAGGTCGAGATGTGTGAGGCCCTTAGGGGACATAGTCTGACTGGTGTCACGTAGTGTGAGCTCTGTAAAACTGGCTAAACTGGCTACTGTCGAACGAGTTGATATTGATACGAATGTTGATGAGTTGAATGCGTATGGTAGATAATAAAGTGCGAAAGTGTATTTTCACAGACAAAGTAACGAAAGTTGTGAGTGAGTTTTTGTTAAATTGTGTGAGTGAATATGAGGAACAGATGATGAGAATGATTGCGAAGAACGAGAGGCTAACTGGAAGAATAGATGAATACGAAAAGCTATTGTCTCAGAGAGAAATGATAGAAATGACTGCGTCGTATGTGAATGTGCCTGGATAAAGGCTGGTTGAGAAAGAGAGTTTTGGCAGAAAAGAAAAAACCAGCAGTGGTGATCTAGCGATGTGAGAATGTTCCACGAATGTAAAAAGTTTGGTGATTTGGACCTCAAAGTCGAGGCCCCTAAGTTGGTCCCAAAATTGTTGTTTTTGATATTGACAATAAGATAACAAATGAGGACAATGAAAGAGTTATATTTGATGAACGCTGCTGTGAGTGAAGAGGAATTTATTGTAAGGATTGTGAACAGGACAAGTAGAAGAGGTATGAATGTGAAAAACGTGATGATTGAGCTATCAAGGAATATGCGAGATGTGCTTGTGCGAGAAGAAAGGATACATGTGAGATGGCGTGCGTGCAAGGTGAAAGAGTTTGTGAATATGTTACGATACCATAAGTGTTTTGTTTTTGGATACATGATGAAGGAGTGTAGCGTAGATGATAGATTGTGTGAGAAGTGTGATGAGAGTGGCCATTTGAAAGAAAAGTGCAAAGGTGTGAGTGTCTGTCGAAACTGCAAACTGAACGGAAAGAAATGTGACCATTCGGTTCTGCCCACTGAGTGCTCGGAGTATGTTAGAATGCTAGAGTGTGAGACAGCAAGGTTAAGTGAGTCATTAAGAGTAGTATGTTTTTAAATATTCTGCAGCTGAATTCTCTCAGATCTTATGCGATTATGAATGACTTGAGTGGTGTGTTGGAAGACAGGAGAGTGAATGTTGTATTGTTGCAGGTATTATATGTGTCAAATGAACGTGTGAGTGGATTGCTAGATTCTTGGCAGGCATACGTCTGTGGGCGTGTGCCTGCCAAGGTTGCGGTTGTTGTATGTGATAAGAGTGTGGAAGCGATATTTGTGAATGAGTATACGGATGAATATGGAGTGTGTGTATAGCTGAAAGGGAATTTCGGGGAATTGTATGTGGTGTCCATGTATTGTCGGTGTGGTTATGATATCGAGCCATACTTGGCACATGACAGAATACGTAAATGTGTGAAAGGTGGAAGAGTAATTTTCGGTATGGATGCTAATGCAGCTTTCTTCTTGTGGTTTAGCAAAAATGGGTATCGCAGCAGGAAGAGTGAGATGCACGGAAGGATTTTGGAAGAATGGGTTATTGCGAATAGAATGATAATTTTGAATGGTACTCGCGGAGCGAGTATTACACTTTCTCGGGAATTAGAGGAGAGAGTGATGTAGATGTAACGTTAATGAATATGGCTGAGTGCCTTACGAGTGCCAATCATCAACAAATAGCAGGTGAGTGAATGGTGTACGATCTTTATGCGAATGATGTATGATGCAATGAGAGAGATTGTGTGGAAGCGATGGGTGTGTAAAAATGTTAACTGGAAAAATTATGAGAGTTACTTGAGTGAGGTAGTCGAAATGAGAGGTATGAACGTGTTCTGCGTAACGAATGTTGACAAGTTAAGAGTGTGACAAAATGGAATCTATAAGTAGTGGTGCTAAATGTTTTATGCAGTGTTTGTATTCGCCGCTCGCCGTTTTCACTGTCACCACTCTTGTAACTTGGTCGTTACCAGGATGTAGTGCCGCGATCCGTCCTAGAGGCCAGCAGAATGGTGAGGCATGATCCTCCTTGATAACAATAACGAGGGATCCTATCCACAACTCTGTTGGTTCTTTCGTATGCTATTTGCGGACTATTAATTGGTTTAAGATAATCTTTGTACCATCATGTCTAAAAATGCTGCCGCAATCGTCGTATATGTTGCCAATGTTTAAACTGTTTGTTGCTATATCGGTAACGTTTTTCTCAAGTATACTGGTTACGTACGTCACCGATTAGGAAGTGACTGAGGATTAATGCGGTAAGGTCATTCAGATGGGAGTGACAGGAATTCAAAATAGTTTCAATTTCAATGAGGTAAGATGATTTCAAATGTAAGCAGGTGATTCCCGACAATTTTACACGATGTTTTTTCATGAATTTAACGGCCCAAATCCCACTGAAATGGAGTGCGCATGGTGGGATAAAATGCCACGTTATCTGCTCCTGTGTTAAGAAATCGCGAATGATAGACCTTGTGTTGCTCGTTAATTGGTGTAATTCCCGCAGTTCGCGAATTGCGCCCACAAAGGTGTTTACATTATCGGAATATATATGTTTTCATTCTTTTTCTGAGACGCACGTCAGTGATATTTTTATCCTCAAAATGTTCATTGAACGGCGTAAAAGTATAACTGAAAGTGAGGAGAGTAGTGATGATGAAGTAGTGAATTTTAGAAGAAAAGTTATAAATAGAATTTCATCGAATTCAGACTCGGATATTGAACCATATGCAAGTGAAGACCTTGATGACATGTTGGAAGAACTTGCTATAGACGAAGAAGAGGAACAGAACTCTGTTGATGATTCATTCACAATATCCATTGGAACGAATTCGCTAACAGGCAACAGTCATTTCCGTTCACCGGAAAAAGTGGGCTTCTGATGGATTTACCGTCTGACATTAGTGCAAGTGAAGTGCTTTCGTTATTCTTAGATGAACAAGTGATAAGCCTTTTAGTCACAGAGACTAATAGATA